AAACACATGCAAAACCCTGAACCAAATGTAAATTAGGATCCACAGTTTCCACCACTCAACGTTAATAGGTGGAGAAAAATCAATGGCAGTCCTGAGAGGATATTGCCTGTCCTTGTTAGGCTCTTCACAAAGGAGTAGGACGGGGGACTCTGATTACACCATATCAAAAGGTATAGAGACACTTATATAATCTGCTGTGAATACACAGTCCTGTGAAATATGCAATCTATTTCATTTCAGGAACCCAGAGATGACCCAACAGCTGCTATGTTTTCCTTTCTTTTCTCTTCCTTTCCCCATTCTCTTTCCTTGTGAACACATCCCTAAAATGATAGATTTTCTTTAGCTCATTGAGTGTTGTTGTTTTTTTCCCCTCGAAATCAGAGGTAACTTAAGGCATCCTTGGCTGCCTCCTGCATTTCAGCACTGGGCCTGTGCTCAGAGTATGTGGCTGTGAGCTGCACAGCAAGGGGGCGGCTCAGAGCTCTGACCTGAAGGGCCCGAGCTTGACGCTGGAAACAAAGGACTCTCGCTGCCCTCTTTGACACAGCTGTTGGGTTCCTCTTTGTCTCTGTAGTCTCAGCTAAAGCAATTACCTGTCTCAGCTGTAGAAACATTTGTAAGGTTTAGGCCACAAGACTCCAGCAAACGCCTTGTGTCACTGAGCAATGAGGCCTCACCATGTGGGGCCAGTGCTCTGCTGACACAGGTACTCAACTTACGCCAGCTTTTTTCATTAAGTTTTCAGACTCCATTTTAATAGCAATTTCATTTTAAAAACAAACTCAGCTACAGCCTCCTGATCTCTCATTTACCAGAGCTTCTTGTCCCTCTGATCAAACTGGCAGCACTTTTCCCAACCTCTTTGGTTTGAGCACAATGCAGGTGATCAGAGCTGTATGTGGTCTTCCAGATGCTCCGGAGTGCTTTGGACAAGGGCACTCGATGTCTCTCAATCACTTATCAATCACGATCAATACTTTGCCTGAAGCATTTCATGACCACACTGCATGTTTTTAAAAGACACACATCAAGTGGACTCTCAGTCATCCTCTGAGCACTCATACACCCTTTTCTGACCTTCCCAAACCACAGGACCTCAGCAGACAAGCTAAAGCAAGGGCTTCTGCTAAGTACAGGTGTTGGCACCATGTACACTTCAATTAGCATTGCTTCAGCTCTAATGGTAATTTGATTTCTTTTCTTATATTTCATTCTCTGAAATGACAGCTGCTCATTTTGAGCATATTTTCTTAACATCCACATCACTTTCTCTGCCAAGATCATTAAAGAAAATAATATGCAGTTGACAATGATGCCTTAAAAGTAAACCCTTTTAGAAACCTATCACAAATCACACTTCCCATTTCAACACAGTCCACTGTCATTTGTCCTTTTTCCAGATTGTCTCTTATGAGCTATCAGACACAGAAATACAAGATAAGCTCTCCCTTGCTTCTGTAATACAGAAAAATAATAAAAGATGGGTTACCTAGCACAATCTGTTCTTGGTGAGCTATGTAACCCCGTGGTGCTAACAATACTGCTCTGCAGACAGCTGCCTAGAGCCCCTCCTAAGCCTGTTATTCTTATGCCCGTATGACATCAGATCAGTCATTCAGCAGTCTGTTCTTTTCCCTTTGTAAAACGGAATTAAATAATTCACTGTCTTTTAGGTCACGGTGACTCTCACAGGTTTTTCTCCATTGCTGTAATTGAAACTCTGTGCCAATGGAGGGTGCGTTCATGTATCAGGCACCCTGTGTTTGCTGCCGTGTCCTTGTGCTCGATGCGCCCTGACTTACTGCCACTGCGTGTGGAAGTGCCTCCAGATTTTCAGATGACTGTCCCCATCTCAGGCTCACCATTTTTACTGTCCAAGTCATTATGCATCAGAAGGACACTGGCCAGGAAAAGCCACTTCCATTTTAATTTCTTTATGAGTGGCACACACAAGGCTTCCTCTAGCCTCTCACTCACCATGTGGGCATTGGAGCAATCCCCCACAGGGGACACTGTTCTGCAGGCCAGCAGCTGTAACACGGGCCTCCTGGTGGCAGTGCACACATTAAGGGAGGGACTTGCAGAATGTGAGGGAAAGCAAATGAAATAAGGGCTTTCAAGATTAAAAATAAAAATAAAAATCCCCTTTAATTTCTGTATAGTTTAGTCAGAATGAATTAAATTGTGCAATACTCCTTGGCTGCAGAGAAACTACAGGTCTCATGGCTGGTTATTCAGAATAACCTGAGCAAAAGTGAGCAGAGACCTGTACAACCTATAATGTACTCTGTGTTCCCTGCTTGTACTCTTAGGGCACGTGGTACTTCAGGGTCAAAGACTTTTCTAGAAAATCTGATATAATCATTTTCAATCGTGCATTCAGCCTGGACAGAAAAGCTGCCATTAAAAATGAATGCTCTTTCTCTAATCATTATGCTCATGGATGATCATTTTGTCTCTTTTTAATGCGAAAATAGTGCCAACTCTTTTTATCGTGGCTGAGGTCTCTTGGGACAATCTCTTCCAGTCAATGATCCTTTTCAACCTGCCTGCTCCTTCCATCAGTGGTGAGATCAAAGCTTTCCACTTGAAATAAAATCTTTAGGATTTAATTGGTGTTTCCTTTTCCTTTATATGCCAATGTTCTGGCAGAAGTTAAAACTAAAACCCACGTGTGCTCACCCACGGGAGCATTCCTCTGCGGCTACACACAGGTCATTGGCTTCACCACAGTGTCCCAAATGGCTCATCAGAAAAAAATGTCACTACAGATGAGCTGTCACTCACAACCACCAAGTAAACAACTTGGTTAGACCTATTTGTAAAATATAGTGAAGGGAGTGGACGCACCACACTGACTCACCAGCTATTAGCAGACTTCCCCTCATCGTAGCCAAGCTTCAGTCATTCAGGTCCTGGCACTCCAACACTGTGCTTACACTGGTGTAAATCAACGGTGTAAAAATGACCACACTTGCGTGAAAGAGGCATTCACGAGTGTGCTGGACATTAAGACTCCAGCACACTCCTGGCTATCCTGGTTTTGTGGAGCAAACAGTTCTGCTCCTCTATAAAGACCCCAAAGGGAGGAGCATATATTCCTCCTCAGCTGTGCATGATGGAAAAGGTTCCTCAACACATACACCTCATGAAAGAATGGAAGTTAAAGATAAAATCATACATATGCTCTCTCACAGTCCTCAACAACAACAGGAAAAGGAGGCTAGAATGAGGGAAATCCAAAATACTGTTTGCATTCTTGAAAAGCACCAACAAAGGGCTAAACATATGGAGCAAGGTGCAGGTCACTCTTCTGCAGTGAAACCAGCAGAAACCAGTTCAGAAACTCCTTCTGGAGGTGATTCTTACAGAAAGTATGCATCATAAGACCTGCCCTTGATGTACAATATCTAAAAGTAGCAATATTTTAAAAATAAGTGATAAATCAGGTCTTTCAGAGAAAAAAAAATGCATTCTGTTATGAATACCATTTTAAGGACAAACATTTTCAAAGCATTGCCTCTACTGCAGTCATTATGGTACACGTCCATCAATGAAATGGCATTGTGCCATTGAACAGGGGAATCACAGATATTTATTTTCCTTAAATGGGAAATGATACGCAAGGAAAAAGCAAAGGTGCCTGTTTGCTGTTCCATCATGATGGTGCAGCTTGCAATAATTGTAATAATTGGCTGAATTCTACCTATGCTTTCTCCTACACAGCCACAGTAAGTAATTCAGTCAGAGAAGCTGGGAGGCAGAATTTGGCTGCATGTTGCTAAAATAACATTAAGAAGTAACATTTTCTGTTTGTTTATTTTTCCTTTATTTCTTCCCAGTACAAGAAAATGAAGTTGTTAAGGAAGCTAGATCATGCATAAGAATTTGTCAGCTATAGACACTGCTGAATATACTAAGGAAACACATAGATCCATTCATGCAAGTGATGTTATTTATGAACAAACTGTTGCAGAATCAGGTTCTGAGACAGGGTGACAGGGGCACATTGTGTTACTCACAAGGGTCAACATTTTAAAGAATGCTTGATGAATAGGACTCATTTGAAAGAAGCTTTAGGGACTCAGTGGCATGAAGGAGAAACTATGCTCCTGGCAAAAGATTAAACACTTGTACTTTCTGTTGACTCGGGGAACTGGGAAGTTTCAGCAAATGCAGGATCAAGCCATTAAAAAAATGAGTTTCACAGTGCTTGCTAGCAAGTGACAGATCCCGTGCACTGCCTGCACTACCAACTGTCCATTTGTATGGATGTTGGCAAGACTACGCTATTTCACAAAACTTCTCTTCAAACACGATTGTTTATAAGAACAAAGAACATCCTGGAATGAGGTTAATGAAAGAAAATGTATAATTCACTTGCCAAATGTGATTGGAAGAACTGTGCTGTATGAAATCATTTCCAAGCATAGCATGCAAGGGACTGCTTGCTGCAAGGAAGGGCTGGTGGCTCTGAGCTCTAGTTTGTGCACACACTGCTGTAGACTCAGACAATCCAAAAAGCTCCCATTTGTCAGTGCTACAAAAGCTTGCGAGTTAAATAAACCGTATGTTTTAAAGTTAATGTTAAAAGAAAGTCTCAATTCCAGGGAGCCTACAAACAATTTGCTATTTGGACTTCTACCTAATATGGAGAAAAAAATAAGAGAGATGAATGTCAGGCATGGTCTGTATGACAAGATTTACAGGGCCTGCCTCATATTACCTTTCAGAGAGGCAACAAATAGTCCTTGCTGATCTGCAGTTAATCTTTCACTACTGGCTCAGAAACCCACCAACACTAATAATAGACTGCGGGCGCTGCTGCCAGTAGGTTCCTGCTGAAAGGCACGGAGACGCAGAGCTCGCTGTTAAAGAAAGCATAAAGTCACCCTCCCGTCGGACATCTTTTGGTTCCTTACCCGATGCCTACCCGCAGCTACTGAGGAGGTGACACAACAACAGCACAGCAATACGTTAGGTTCATTCACGGTTACCTGATAGATCACAACCCGGAATTTGTTTTTTTTCAGCATCTCCTCTTGCTTTGCCTCCACCTTCCGCACGTTGGCACTCTGCCTTTCCACCCGTGCCCGCACTTCCTTCATGGTGGAGCTGACTTTGCGGGTTTTCTCCAGCAGCTTGTTCACCGTATAGCCGGTGTTGCCGTGAGCCTGGGCAAGCTTTAAGATGTCGATCTGTATGGTCTTGATGGCATTTTCCATCTCCCTGTGCCTTTCTTCTATCCTTTTCTGGCTTGCCTGCACGCTGTCCACAATGTTGGCCACTTTATCCAGCACCGTCACTATGGTGTACGCTGCATCTTGTTCTTCTTCGTCCTCGGTGACACTTGACAGGCGGTTTTGGTGGATTTTGTCAGCCTCCAGCGTGATCTCACGGTGGTCCATTTTGCCTCTCTCCAGGCAGGTCCACAGGAGCCAGACTTTCGACCCAACTCTGTGGGAACAATCCTGGTGCTAGTGCACGGCGCCGGCGCGACAGCCGGCTTCAGCCATGCTCACAGGAGGGTGTGGAACGCCGCTCCCGGAGGTGGGACAGATGCTTCTGACCACCAAATGTCCACAGGCGGTGGTTCAGATGCTTTCAGCAACATGAAACCTCTAAAATTAGGAAGCAATGTCTGGAAAGGAGCACACGTCTAAAGGGTCACGCTTCTGTACTGATGCAGTTATTAGCGTTAATCCAGGGAAGCTAAGTAACTTACCAACTAAGCAGGCGAGCAAACTCACATATTTTAAGCGATCTGCTTTTGTTTTCGTGTTCCTGAAGTGCTTGCTCTGAGGCAATTCAGAGAGCGCTCACGACCATGAACACCGGCTGTTTTTCAAGCAGAACAAGCTTCAGATCTTCAGCTGCTTACGATTGCCACGTGGGGTAACAAATAAACACACCAAACCACAGGCAAAATAGTGAAAAGGTTGTATTGTGACATGCTTTTCCAGTTCAAAATGTTGAAAGCATTTTTTTGTTTTTGTTTTTATTGAACAAATTATTAAATCCTACATGCAAAATTCTGAAAGCCTAAACTACTTGTTAAAACAGCTGAACACATCCTATTCACACTTTATCTCTGGATCTTTCAAACAACAACTAACAGTCTATTTATATAACTATGACCAGCAGACTAATTTGGATGGACTTTCTTAGCTCTTGAAAATACTCTATACAAGAGCACTAGTTATTCATTCACTTTTATTTGTTCTTTTTTTTTTTTTAATTTTTATTTTAATCACAAACACTATACAATCTGCATTGTAGGTGTTAAAACATGTATTTTCTTTAAAAAAGTTTAAGAAGTATTAAAACAGCTTCAACAGTGACAAATTAGGCTTTATTCCAATTATTTGTGTTCAATTATTTGACACCAATTTTTAAAACACCTAAATCTACTAAGACCTACTCCTTTTGGACCTGTGCCATCTGCTCTACCAGGTAATTGCCCAAACTAAGAAATTTATACTTTTGCCCTTTAAAAATAAATCGTTGGCATTATTAATGAAGATGGCAGTGCTTAGACCCAGCCCACATGTTTTATAAATATGTTACAACTACACACAGCACACAGCTTCACAGTTCATGCGATAGGCAGTGTCTAAAAAATCAGTTACTAACTTCCAAAAACATTTAAATATCTACGGTATTTAAACACAGTGTTTTTCTAGTTTCTCATAAGAAAAGTAAGCTGTAAACATTTTTACCTTTAGTTCATGCCTTGTTTGCTAGGTAATGTGGACTTTTTTTTTTTTTAAATCTACAACCACTGGTGGAATAAATTTGTGTTCCCAAAAATATTACATTCCATGAATAAAGCACGTCTATTATATAACCATGTGATACAGATACAGAAAATGACCTACTGTATTCAAAAACAGAAAAGCAAAGTTACTAAAACAGTCCATAGCTGTTAGAGCTGATGCTTTCAGAATACAGACCAACATTGTTACACTAAAAATGTTCAAAAATAAGGCCTCTGAAATAAATATTTCCATTCTTTAAAAAAAGATATAATAAAAATGTACATCACATGGTCAATGTAGGTATAAAAATCACTAAGTTAAACCATTCTGGATGATGTATCTGAAGTAAAATGGCCTAGGTTTTGCTTCTGCCGACGTCCTCTATTGTTTTTGGGGCATTTTCTGTTTAGAAAAAAAGAGAGCAAGAAAAAGTATGAGTGCTTTTATACATGTCATATAAAATTAAACCTAGCAAGACTGAATTGACTTATTTTATATACTCAAAAACAGCAAACAGCTTAGGAGCTGTGCTTACTGGGTGAATTCTCCTGCTGTTTGGTACCTGGCTGGTATTTGGGCATCTGTGTGGGACCCCAAATCACTCCAGAAGGAGTTCTGCTTGAAACCCAAACCAGCAAGGTCCTGTATCCTTCAACCATGGTCCAGCAAAACCCATGTTTTGATGAATAGCTGCATTGGATTTACTTTTTACACACTTCATACTTAAAATCCAGTGGAATTTAAGTATGATAAGATTTAAGACCGGATCAATCAGCCTTTGCAGTGCTGGACCTCCAGGTGCTCTGCTGCTTGCTGGAGCCCCCAGGGCAGAGCCCACTTCCAACCCCTTTCTTGGGGCTGGGGACACAGCTCAGAAAGGACTCATAAAAGCCAGCAGTGCCGAGCAGGAAGAGACTTAGCCCACCAGACAGCAGGCAATGGAACACAGATAAAGCAGTCCTGCTGGGACTGCTGGGTGAGACAGCCTGCCCCAGAAAGACTGTGTGCCAGGGAACTGCTGTAAGGAGGCTGAGAGAGGAGGGCTGCTGAGCTGTCAGTCTTCCCCATGGGTGCTTTGACCAGCAGGGGGTCTGGTAAAAGGAATGGCATCAACTCCATAAGCTGAATGGCTTTTTATACGTGCAAGGATGTGTTAGACATGTGTGCTTACACCTGGTACACTGAACCTTACAAGAGAGATAGGAAGGAGGCCTATAGTGTTCATTCATATGGGTGTCACTCCGCATCACTAAGCTTGGAAAGCCGTGCACTAATGCTGCAGCAGTAAATTCTATGGCTCTGCGTAAGCAGACCTGAAAAAGTGAAGGAAGTGACGGACAAGTTGAGGAGGAAAAGGCAAAGTTTGCCATGGATGCCCAGATGTAGGATTTAAATGCTTCACACACCAACTATGTAACTAAATCATCCTTAATCCAGCCCAGAGCCCCCACTTCTTATTGGATTCAAATCCCTGATGAGCAGACCAAATCCCTTTTCATCAAAATGAATCCATGACTCGCATCTCAGTTTTCACACGGAGCGAGAGCCTGAGACAATCCAGAAACTTGAACTCTGTGCTTGTGCATCTTCACATTTCATAAAATAGGTTCCCATGGAGAGTGCCTAAAAAAGGCACGCACTGCACATTGATTTTCAGGAAGCATATATGGTGTGAGGGAGACTTCTCTCCGTGTGTAACACCATTTACAGCTGTACTGCAGGGAACAGCAATGTGTCAACCTCTCTGGTTTCACCGGGCAGGAGGGGGAACCATATCTTCTATAAGATATCATCAATGCTTGAATAACTCCATGAAGGTCTAACACAGTAGCTGACCTTTTGAATATGTTTCAAGGCTGATCTGTTCTGCTGGGTAGCTGTTCTGGGGATTCAGACAGGTCACTGGTGGTTTGTGAATTTAAATTAACGTGTGTTTTGTGACAAAAATGGCAATAGGTTTCTTTTACTGGGGTATTTTAGAATATATGTTTATGCACATAAAAATTCAAGGAGGAAAAGATTTAAATACAGAAAAAGCATATACAGACAATGCATAATTTTTCACTCTTTGGTATTTACCTACCTTGTTATGCACATGACAATTGCAACTATAATGGCAATCTGTACAGCTCCAATTATTGCTGCAATAAGGACATGCGTAAGCTTTTGTCTACTTGGGACAACATAAAGAATACTAAAGTCTGTCTTTTCACAGTGCTGTCCAGTGTATCCTGATTCACACCTGAAAAACAAAAGCAATATTTAATGGCGTATGTAATTTGGCAGCAGCCCAGTCATTTTGCAGATGAAATAAAGAGTCCAAGCTGTGGGATGGAAAAAAACAGTAATCATAGCAGTGACAGAGGAGAGGAACTTGGTGCCATCACTGCTGCTGCAGAGGCTCAGGACGTATCACTTTCTGAAGCCTAAAATGAAATTTAGAGAGCACAGCCAAACAGAAGAGCTGAGACTCTGCCTGCTCTGTGAACAAATGGATGGATTTGGATTGTGGTTGAGAAAAGAGCTAGTGAGAAGGCGGAGGTGCAGTAACAGGAGGATGGATTGTGTTGGAGGATGTTTTGGATTTCTGGGGCAAGTGGAGAGACAGAAAGGGGAGTCTCTTCTCTTCTGGATAAGGTTATCAGTGACCCTCTCTGAAGACACACCTGCAGGGTAAAGGCCCTGGTTTGGCAAAAGAAATATGTGGGGTGCTTGTTAGATTGGGGCAATATTTAGGAAAAATAAAAAAAAATAGATGAAACAAGTAAACAGACTAGACAGAGCAAAGCAATATGCTCAGGGAACTCAGCAGTAATGTCAATACGAGCAAGGAGTGAGAGAAGGAAAAAAAAAACTTTGAAACAGTGGGGGAACAGGAGGATGCCTTTTCAAGCTGCAGCCTTTGGACATGGAATCCTACAAAACCTATTGGAAAAGAACGGCATCAAGACCTCTCCTGCCTTGTCCCTGGACTAAAGTATTTTCCAATTATTCTCTTCACTGCCTACCTCCTACCTTGAGCCACCAAGAATTTCAGGGTAAATGTGCTTCAGAGAGGTCAGGTTATCCCCCTTGCTGACTGCACAGAAAAGTCAAGGAGACTCACAGCTGGCCAGCTCGTCCAGATGGCTTGCACACTTCCCTCAGGGGAAACCAAGCTCCCTTGCAGGACACTAATGGGAGAAAACCCAATAACCCACAACTGTTTATGTGAGAATTCACGGAAGACTGCATAAAAATTGGCTAGGGGTGGGGGAGGAATGGCAGGAGAGAGAAGAGGAGCTGCTGTAAATGGTATCTTGCCTGAGTAAACCAGCAGAGAGCTCAATGAGAAACTCAGCAGAGGCTGCTCCCAATGGCAATGCATGTGTGTAGTGTGAGCAAGTGGTGAAGCTGGCAGTGACAAAGTGCTCTGGAACAATTCATGTTGCAGGCAGAGAGAGGCTGATGCACAGCAAGGAAAGGCAAGAGCTACCCCAGCAAGAGCTGCAAGCTGCTGCACCAAGGGCTACTACTCATATCTTTGAACAAAGGCTTTTAATCCCTTCTCCTCTTACCAGTTTGGGCAGGGAGAACTCATGAAAACCCTCACCTTTCATGTAGAAGTACAAACCTGTGACTGCTCGTTTTAAAGGATTGCTTACAAGCACAGGAGTAGCAAGTTCCTTGTACAGCTATCCTTTAAAACCAACTGATGTGAACGCACCATTAAGGACAACTGAATCATACAATTGGCCTCCAGCTCTCCGACAGAAAGAAAAGAACTACTGCCACAGGCAAAAAAAAAAAAATAAATAAAACACTTCTTTTGTAATCTGGATCAAAGAGGTCT